AAAAAAAAAAAAAAAAAAAAAAAGAAAAAAGAAATCAAATCGAAACCACTGGAACGTGATTTATTGAGTGCCAAGTATGTATATCCATTTGGAAGACCAAAATATGCCACCCCAACATATGAAGGACAGTTGAGCTGAAGGCAACTAAGCAGTACATACAAGAAAGCTCTGTGCCTTCTCTGTATTATCCTAAAAGCAGAGCATAGATTTATAGACAAAAACTATCTTACTCTGCCTTCCACCACGGAGAGCAAAGTTAACCACTAAAGCCTATGGATGGTTCTTGAAGCATCTGCTTTCACAAGTTTTAATTACTAACCTTTGTCTCAGTCGTTTACCTCCCCCTATGTTGCTGGCTGCCTCTAAAGACTCACCTGCTACCCCTCTAAAATTTCACTGTTCTCTGTTGGAGGTGCTATATAAGCTGGAACTCTGAGAAACTTTTTTGAGAACTATTCATTCCCTGGGTATCCCCCAAATAAATGTCAAATACACAGGGTAATAAACTTTTGTTGGTTTTTCTCCCTTTGACCCATTTTTTGTTATAGGGTCTGTTCCAACTAATAAATGTCCAAGATTTTTCTTCCCCTCCAGTTCCAAATCTGTGGTAGGCCTGCAGATACAGGCAGGTCACTGAGCGCAGTCATTCTGAGATCACAGTGCTCACAGTATAATCTGGAAGACAGTGGTCCCCAAAAGAGGGAAATAATTATATCATTGCAAAAATCTAAAAAAGATAAAAGAAAATCTGAGAAGTAATAAGTGTTACATGGTAGGCCCAGACAATGAGTCAGGGAAAGCTGCATAGAGAAACTGTTTAAGATTTAGAGATGGGAAGGATCACAGAGATCACTGCAGGTGATGTGATGGGAGGGAGGGCTTGGTGGTCCCAAGCAGAGCTGCTAAGCGTGGCAAGGATGTCCCAGAATGATTACAGGGAACACAAGGCTGCAAGAGGAAGCGGAGGGGCAGGTGAGGAGTGGCGCATACTTGGCTTTGCAGGCCATGAAGGAGCTGGCCTGCAGTATAACCCGTGAGCCCCAGGAAGACAGCAGAGGGGACGCTGAGTTATGCATGTTTTTAAAGACTCAAGTGGCCACAGAGTGAAGATATAATTAGCAAGATCAAGAGTGGGTGTTGTGAGACCAGTCCGGAGATGGTAGCAGTGGTTTAAATGAGACGGCATAGCAGCTCTGACCAAAGCCACACAACCATTTATCCACTTACTCACTCATCTATGCAGGAAGAATTGTAATGTGTTCCAGGCACCATGCTAGGCTTGTTAAGGGAGCAGCACACAAGACAGACCAGGCTTCTGTTCTCAAGAAGTTTGCATCTGGTGGAGACAAATATGGAGATGGCTGGGAAAAACAAATAGTGGGCGGAAGACAATCGAGGAGTCCAGCCAGTGGAAGGTGGATGTGGGGTTGAGGGAACAGGAAGTATAGAGGATATACTCAAGCATCTGGCTTATATTACTAGAATAATAGCTATCATGAACTGAACTGATTGTGACAGAATCAGACTTTGGGGAAAGATCATTAGTTTTGTTTTTGACATTGTCTTATTCTGTTTTTCTGCTATTTAAGACTGGGTAACTTGTCAACAGTAAAAGTTTATTTGGCCCATGGTCCTGAAGGCAAAGCCTAAAAGCAAGGCATTGGCACCCGGCAAGTGTCAACATGGCAAAAGGCAGGAGGGCGAGAGAGCGCAAACCCAAAAGAGCAGGAGAGGCCAAACTCGCTTTTATTATAGCAAACTCATCCTCAAATAACTAACCCAGTCCCGTAACAATGACATTAATGCACTGTGACTAATACATCTCTCCTTAGTCACCATCTCCTAACACTGCTGTTCTGGAATTAGGTTTCCAGCACATGAGTTTTGAGGTACACATTTGACATGCTGAATTTGAGGTGATTTTACCTTGCATAATAGCTGTGGCATTTAAATGGTAGTGTCTCAAAGTGCACTGACCAGAATCAGGTATTAATTGCTCAAGAAATTTTAGCCACCTGTGCTGTAAAAATCGCCATATAAAAATCTCCCAAGGGAGTAAAAAATAGAGGTGTCTGAAATGGTTGTACCAAGTGACTTGTTTTCTACTTGAGTAGACTAGGGAAACATTCCATAGACCAACACCTGAGACGCTGGAGAAGAACTTGACCCCAAGAAGGAAAATGAATTATATCTCACCCTATCCCAAGCAGCTGGGAGCTGCATCAGTTCTGAGATGGAGCCGAACTGGGGAAAAATCTCTCGAATACTCCAATGTCCTAGGATACCCCCAGCACTAGCTAGGAGAAAGAAATTCCCGGTTTGGCTCTTCTTTCAGGTACTTCTGGAAGGCAGTTTGAAAAGGACCAAGGTTCATGTTGTAGTCAGGGCTGTATAGCTCAGGAGTACGAACTGGATGGAATCCTCAGCAATTTGCAGGGTCTTCTCTAATATCAAGGACTTTCCAGGAGAATGTAGGGGGCGCACCAGAAAAACATGCAGGACAAGCCACTGACCAGCCAGCTACTCTAAAATCTACTTAAAAATCAAAAAGAATGATACAGAAAGGAAGGGTGTGCTCAGAGAAGGTCAAATTCAGGATAAGGGATTACGTAGGGGCCGGGAAGGGTAGACTGCCGATTTGCCCTTGTTGGACAGAGACTCTTACGATCTTTTCTTCCTTTGACCATACATGAAGGCAACTGTTGGTCACAGATGTGTAATCCAAGCACCTGGTTAAAATAGAACTGGCCTACAGGGCTGAGGATCTAGCTAAGTTAGTTCCACTGCCTGCAAATTCAAGGTAGACAGTTTGATCCCAAGTATCAACCACAACAACAACAACAACAAAGAACTGGCCTGTAGAATGTGCATAACCTGGTCAATCATATCCTAAAGACTACGGAGGGGTGGGGGGTAGTTAACTTGGGACCAAGTGATGTCGGCTTGCAGTTCTGTGCTTTATGCAGTATTGAACTCTTCAACTTCTCCAATGTTTGTTAGTTCATACAGTATTTATTGAGCAATCACTGTACTATGTGCCATAAATGGTGCTAGATGATGGGGTTACCACAACGTGAACCCACAAGTGATACCTTTATAAGGGTGGGACAAGAGGCGGAGAGTGAAAGGAGGCAAAGGGGGAGGGAGCTAGTATTTTACCCAGTGTCTTCACTGATCTGTTGATTCAAACCTCAAGAGGGGAAATGGAGAATATACCAGAAGCAGTCACATCCCACACAATATTAGGATTGATTTCAGTTTTATTTCAAATATACACAAATAGAATCAGAGACGTTTGTTTTGGAAATTTCTAGCATCTGGAGCATGGCTGCAATCCAGAAAGCCATAGCTGAGATTCAGTTCTGAAAACATTTTCTGTCTTTATCACAGGAAGGATGACAACAAGGAGAGATTGGCTGTGGATGGAATTCTTTTTTCCCCATGTTCTTGAATACTGATGTTTCGGATTTGACTTCAGAATTGGACAGAAAAAGCATCGCATCCAAAGTTGTCTATTTGAAAATATGCCAAGTCATTCCATGGGGAGATTTATAATTTGGTCCAAGACTGATTTTATGCCTAAAGCAAACAAAGTAAGTGCTTTATTGCTAAGGGGATAATTAGTTAATATTTGTAAAGAGTTTTGAAGATGAAAAATACTCTATAAATGTTAAGTATTATTACTCTCCCAGTAGTTCTATTGCTTTTGTATTATATAAGAATACTTGTTCTTTTAGCCTGGTTATGGATTCTCACAGTGAACATGGAAGAAAAAAAGAACAGCAAGAGTTCACGAAAGAATGAAACCCACTGGTTTTTGTTTATTTTAAAGGAATTTCTATAACTGAAGACAACTTTCTTAGCATCTCATGAAGAAAAGAATACACAATTAACAATTCTTTTTATTCTACATGTTGGCATTGCTTTCCCTTGCCTCCCCTTCAGTCCTGCTTTCTCTGGGCCAGTGGGTGGAAGAGATTTTTTTGAAAGTTGAGCCTTGCAGAAGGAGAGGTAGCTGTGGCATCCTGCTGACAGCCAGACTGCACAGAGAGGACAGGGAAAATTGTCCAGGCTCAAGGAGACAGAATTCTGCTAGGTGTGCCATTAAGTTTTTGAAAGTAGGTAGCTCATAGGGATGATTTCCCTCCATGTCACACAGCATAACCATGGATTTGGTGACAATATAGCCAAGTGTAACCCAGATTACTTCCAGGAGCACTGTGACATGAGTCATTTCTTAATTAACGTAGTACCCAAGACAGGTATGGAGGGAGCAGTCTTTGTGGGAAGCTCCTGGTGACATCAGACATTAGTGTAAACACTGACACATGGAATCAAGAGGCTTGGGGCCCTAAGCCAGCATTCGTGGGGAAGTAGCAGACCAGCCAGATACTGGTAGTAAATTGCTGCTGCTGTAGGTGACTCCTTTGCCCCAAGCCAGGCACTTCATCCTTTTAAGACTGGATAGGGAGCAAAGATATGGACATGTTCCTAACTAAGATCAGAAAGTAGCTGTGCATGGTGTTGCATGGCTGCAATTCTAACCAATCAGGAAGCTAGGCAGGAGATCCATAAGTTTGAGGCCAGCAACATCATTAGATCCTGTTACAAAATTGAAAAAAAAAAAAAGAGGCCAGCAATGTAGCTCAGTGCTGCTCCAGTGCCACACACACACACACACACATACACACACACACACACACACACACACACGAAGAGAAATGAGGAAATGAGTCAGGTTACTCCGGGGTGATAGAAGTAGAGACACTACAGAATACAGGTTCAAGTCTAGCAGGAAACTAGCTTCTTTCACGTTTCCAAATGAAATGTCAGCTAATCATAGACCAGTACACAAAATGCACTGACCAGCTATCAAAAGTCCATTTTTGTAGATGGAATCAATTTTTTGAATTGATTTTCTTGTACTAAGCAATATAAGAGGGCCTATGACCAAGCTTTGGAAATCATTTTTCAGTGTTTGGGGAATTCCATTGCTATTCTATGAATCTCCCATCTTCTAGATTTTACACAGTTTGAATGAAATGCGCTATTTTGGGAAATGTGATAAACCCTTGGGCATGTTCACGAATAAAACCACTTTTCAAAATTTATTTCAATGTTTTCACCTCCACAGAACAGTCACACTACTGGTGTCTTTGCTGTAGATGGTAGAATTTACCCACTATCTTTGGAAGGCTTCAAGTGGCTCTAGGGAATGTTTCTTCCCCATTATTCCTCAAGGTTCCCACATTCCCCTAACAGTATGAAAGACACCCTGGGGATAAACTACAATTCCTTTAGTCTTTGGACATTTAACTGTTACAGGCCACCTGACATGGCATCTGAGTAATTTTAACCCCTGCCTTATTTTGAGTCAGCAATGGCAAGGGTCCAGGAGGAAGAGATGCAAGGACTCCAGGGGTAAGCATCTTCCCAGAGAAAAGTGGGGGCAAACCAATCTCTCCTTCTCCCATTTAATGTACCTTCCATGCTCTCCATCATAGGAAGATAGTCCTAGGGTACTGGGGAGGCAGAAACTGCGAGGAAATCATTAAACAGATGTGCTTTCTTCTGCTTTCAGCCTTGCTTGTAAGGATTGCCCGTGTGGGAGCTAGGCCAGAATCATCTATGTCTTATGTTATTGTTTGAGTATTCCTTTCCAAAACTCATGTTCACATTTAATTCCTAGTGCAACAGTGTTAGGTGGTGGAGCCTGACAGGAGTTGCTTAGGATGGGAGGCTCCACCTTCATGGATTGATCTACTGTAAAAGGGGTCTATAGGAGTGAGTTCAGTCTCTTTCACCTTTCGACAATGTACCTGATGGTGTTCTCTAAGGGGTTGAGCATTCAAAATACCATCTTAGAAGTAGAGACCAGATTCTCACCACATACCGAACCTGCGGGCACCATGATTTTGGACTTCCCTGCCTCTAAGACTGTGAGAAATATTTTGTTTTAAATAAATTACCCAGTCTCAGATTTCTGTTGCAGCACTCCACGATGAGCTAAGACTCCCCAATTCCTTAATTCCTATGGTGTTTAAACTAAACACACTAGTGAGGCTGGCAGAGTCTCATTTTAGCAGTAAAATTGCCAAGGACCTAACAAAAGTGGGAGGGTCTTTGTAGGTTTGTTGTTGTTGTTTTTGTTTTGTTTTAGGATAACCTAAACCTCAAAAGGTCAGGCTAGGGATTTAGCTCAGTGATGCTGCCACCTGTGTCCCAAAACAAGGTTGTGAGTTCAATCTCTGGTATGAAAAAAGGGGGACATCACTACAAGAAAAACAGCCTGGGCACCAAACCAATACCATCTATCAGTCTTCTGACTCTCCACCTCTCCCTCATATTTTCATGTGTTCACCTCAAGAAGGCTGATAAAGAAATCTGCCATGAGTACAATTGCATTTTGTGTTGTGTGTGCATCTCTGTGGGTGCATGTATGCATGTTGTACATGAACCTATGTCTAGTGTGTGACTAAGAGCAGCATTAGCATAGAAGGCAGTGATGTCTCTGACCACTGATCACCACCCCACCTCCCAGCAAATAGAGGAATGGGCTGCATCACCACTGCTGGGCCTCCCTTTTCACTGCTTTTTAGTTTTGCTGTCTTCAATGTTATTTTTTGATATAGGTTTGCTCCCAGGTGAGATTCAAAGTTGCTGAAGGACAAAGCATTCTTCACTGATTCCCTGAGGCTTGCCCGCTCTATAGTTAAGTTCCCTCCTTAAACTTCCCTCAGATGAATGCTTTGTGTGGGTCACCTGCTCCCCCTGATAAAGCCATGCAATGTGAGCTCCTGCTGGGCAGGGCTCTGCTGGCCTTACTAGTGTGTCCCTCAGGCTCAACATATGTAGTCAATGAAGAGATGTATGTTAAACAAACCTGAACAAATGCAGAATGAGTAGTGCCCTGAATAGATGGTTTGGTAGCCACAATGGTGAGTAAGCCAGTGATGTCTTACAGCAACATAAAACAAAAATCCCAAGCAGGAGGATTGCAGATTCAAGGTCAGCCTGGGCAATTTACCGAGACCCTATCTTTAAAAATTTAAAACAGGGCCATAGATGGAGCTCAGTGGTGAAGTGCTTGCCTAGTATGACTTCAGTCCTTAGCATTGCAAGCCAACAAAAAAATCCAAAACTCCCCAGAATCCCAACCATCTCCTATTTCCAGAGGTATAGAGAAGGGTCTTCCCCAGAAAAGAAAGTGAAGTACTTGGCTGAGATGCTATGGCATATCACATGACAGTGAAACCATCCACATGGCCCTGGAGCTCCCCATCCAAGCCTCAAGCATAGCAGTATATCTGCTGGAAACTTTCCCAAGCTTTCTGGAAAAGGATGTCTCTCTGTGGATACCAGATCTCTCCAGAATATAGTCCATGAGATGAAAGGCAGCTGGAGAGCATATTGGGTCCTTTTATAGCCAGAATGAGAAGGAGAAATCATAGCAGCCCATCAGTCCTGAGTCCTCCATACTTCTGTCTTAGAATAGACACATTTGCAAGCAAGGGTCACCTTTAGGCACTGTTATGATTTAGACCTAAAATGTCCCCCAGAAATCTCATTTGTTCAGAGGTGGGTGGGGATTTTGAAATGTGATCGGATCATGGAGGTGCTGTATGGTACTCATCAATGGATTGAGCCACTGATGAACTCAGAGACAACATGCTATTAGGTGGTGGGGCCTGGTAAGAAGAGGTCACTGGGGACATAACCCAGAAGGGTGTATTCTTAACCCTTGCTCTTGCTTTTTCTTTCTCTGCTCCCTGGCTACAATGGGCTGAGCAGCTTCTCCTCTGTCATGCACTTCAACCACTAGAGCCAGCTGACCGTGCATGGACTGAATTCTCTGAAATTCTGAGCCAAAATAATCCTCGCCTCCTTTAAGTTGCAGATGTCAAGTATTTTGCCCAGTGAAGGAAAGGACCTAAATCAGATAATCTGTTTTTGTGTGACTGATTAAAAAGGTTTCTATGTGTGAAGCCACCTATTAAATACATTCTGTCACTAGAGGATTCTAGGGCAGGTAGAATTAGGGGGCACAACTTAGCCATCACTCCAGGAAGAGGTTTCCAGGATGTCCCACTGTATTAAAGGAGGTAGACTTTGGAATACGGTGGGTCTGTGTGGCCATCGATTCCTTCAGGGTCCTTTTGCTCACTCCTCACTTGCACTACACTGCTCCACCATCCTACCATGCTATTCTGTCTGCTTCGCCAGACTTCATTTTGCTGGAGGATGATGCATTACATATTAAAACAACATCATGAATAACAAAGATGGTGAATGATGATCACAGTGGGCTAGATTCTGTTGAGATTATCCATGTCATCTGTATGCTTTAAAAGCTTTTTCTTGGTTGGAGACACCCCAGTGTCTCAGGACATGGTCACAGTGCAGTGTGTTCATCTTTTTCACCCACTCACTTACCCTTCAGGAACTCTTTTATTTTGGCCTCTGTGCACTCTATGTTGTTCTCTATCTAAGATGAATATCATCTATATTGAGCAAGACAGTTGGGGCTGGCAGCAGAACCACTGAGCTAAATCCCCAGCTCTGAGCAAGATAGTTGGGAACCAATCCTCTTATAGATATGGTCAAGGGAGATGATTTTTATTATCTCTCTAAATAACACACATCATATTAAAGACCTTTTTTGTTACAGTATCTACATAGCTCTTAAACTATTTATTAGCTGATTGATTGACTTGTCAAACACTATTCTAAATGTTTAATTTGTTAGCTTCATGTTACTGTAATAAACACGAGATAAATCAATTTAAAAAGAAGGAAGGTTTATTTCGGCTGACAGCTTAGAGCCTTCAGTTCACAGTCAGTTGACCCTGTTGCTTTTGGACATATAGCAAAGCAGTACATCATGGAAGGGAGCACAAGGTAGAAGAAGCTGCTCACCCCATGGCAACTGAGAAGAAAAGATAAAGAAAGAAGGAGGCCAGGGTTCCAGCATTCCCTTCAAGGGCATGGCCCTGCTGACTGGAAGACTTCCAACTAGACCCCACCTCTTCAAGGTTCCACTCCTCCAGATCGTGCCACAGGCTGGCTGCTACCTATCCCAAAGCACTCAACATGTTTCAAATCAATCCTCAGCAGTCATGATTTGGGTACTACTGCCACCTGCATTTCCAGTCTAAGACTAAGACTCCCTTAGGCTCAGAGAAGTTAAGTAACTTATCCCAGGTCATACAGCTCAAAAATTTTAGAGATAACATTCATACTCATGCATTCAGACTTCATAACCAGTAAGTAACTTCTCATTATATTCCCCTCAAATTTGGAAATAGATCTTTTAATTGATATGGTTTTACTAGATGTAGAGAATACTTGGCCAGCATTCATTGAACCATGACTTTCTATATAACATTTATTTAATATGATGTCTTAAAAAAGTAAGCCAGTTTTAACATATGGCAAAAGGATAAACTGACCCATTGAAACAGTAGAGAAAAGGCTGTCTGTGCCTTGTTCATGAGAGGAGTGCTCAATTCTCAAAGTGACTCCTTCATAAAGTATGTAAGGGTGCTTTTGAGTAGCCTCTATAGAACCTTTGCCTTGAGTTTCCCTTTTAGAACCCAACACCCACATCAGAATGACGCTCATATAGGTAAACCACCACTTAGCACCAAACCTCAGTGGTGTTTGTGTCCGATACTATAGATACTGTAGTGAAAATACTTCACAGGGACCACAAATGTGTAACGTGCCTTGAACATTGATGAATAATCATTGAATGAGTGGATGGATGGATAAGGCTCACCAAATCGGGACTGGTGGCTAGGTGTTCTCGCCTTCCAGAGAATGAATTATACAAATTCTTGCTATTCTCAAGTATTCAGTGACTTATGGTAGTTGGAGAGCATGAGCTTGGGGGTTAGAGTTAAGATTAAGATGCAGAATTTGTGCTCAAGCCTCCTAATGTACCAAACACCTTCAACTCTAACTCTACCCTAAAATCATGTTATATTAAAAAGGTAGTGAAGTTCTGAGACTTCACAAGTTTAGTTTTTATTTGAGGCTATACACAGAGTTTTGGGAAGTAACTTGTGGCTATAATATGTTGTATTGGAGCAAAATAACTCTGTGCAAAGGCCCAGGAAAATCAGTGTACCTGCTTAAAAACTTGATTTAGCTCTCTTTTGTCAACCTATACATGCAGGTCAGAGTAAGCTTCCTCTATCTTCTCCTTTACCCAATCCTTAATTCTCACAAAGCAATTAAAACTATAGGGTTGATGTATAATTGATAATGTGAAATAGAAAGAAAGGGCTAAAGGAGTAGGGGAAGTGGAAAGGGTAGGGGAAAGGAAAAAAAGGGAAAAGAGAAAATATGAGAAAAGGAAAAAAATGGAAACAAAGTCTTTGTAAATAGTGAAGGGTAGGGCCAGGGATTTAGCTCAGTGGTTCTGCTGCCTGCCTCCCAAGCCCAAGGACTCAAGTTCAATCACCGGTACAAAAAAAAAAAAACAAACCATAACAACAACAACAACAACAACAACAACAACAACAAATAGTGAAGGGTGGACAGGGTGAAGGGAAGGCAGGGGATTGGGGAAAAAATAAGAACCAAGATCTGTCATGTAAAGGTACAAGATCCCAATGGTGAATGTAATTGTACTGTATACCTAAAAAGTACCAGTAAATGTATTTAAAAAACTACAGGTGTTGAATTAATAATAGCCAAGAGGTGGAAGTAAGTGCTCATCCATGGCTAAATGGATAAGGAAGATGTGGTACCCACACAGAATGGAATATTTTTCAGGCTTAAAAAGGAAGAAAATTTTGACACTTGTTACAACATGGATGAACTTTAAAGACATATGCTATGTGAAAAAAGCCAGTTGTAAAGACAATTACTGCATAATGCCACTTATATGAGTTACTAGAATGGACAAATTCCTAGGTACAGACAGTAGTATGGTGGTTTCCCAGGGCCGGGGTAAGTGGATATGGGGAATTCCTGCTAAAGGGGACAGAGTTTAAATTTAGGAAAATGAAAATGTTCTGGGGGTTTGTCACACAACAGTGTAAAATATATGTATCATTGCTGAGCTGTGCACTTAAAAATGTACATATATATGTATATGTGTGTGTGTGTACCATAATTAAATAAATAAAATTTTAAAGTAAAAAATATACATAGGGTTATGGCTCACTATGGTTCACTATACTATTTGCACCACTGAGACCTCACTTCCTGCTTAGGGATCACTGCCCATATATGCATATCCTCTCTCTCTCTCTCTCTCTCTCTCTCTGTCCTTGTACTGGGGATTAAATCCAGGTTTTCTCACTGAGTTAGATCCCTGGTCTCACTAAATTTCTAAATTGCCTAGGCTGGGCTAGAATCTGTGATCCTCTTGCCTCAGTCTCCCAGAATGCTGGGATTATAAGTGTGTGCCACCACACTCAGCTTATTTTTCTTAAACAGAGACTTGAAAACATTTTGCTTGCATGACAGCAGCCCACATCATGAGAAAATAACTCCTGTGCAGTGGCCTGGGGTACTGTCCCAACCTTGTTCTACTGCCCAGCCTGAGAGGCTACAGAAAGTGGAGGTTTCAAGACCAAAGGGTGTGTGGTTGCAAAGCCCTCAGAACAGTTCCCTGCAGGTAAGTATTTGATTAAAGGAAAGATGAGGCTAAACAGGGGAGGATGGCAGCTCTCTGTCAAATCTTCTAAGGGAATAAAGGAAAATTGATTTGTCTTTTGAAAAAATTCATCTTTATTAAAAAAAATCCACCCATGATCCCTGTATATGCCTGTCACATCAACATGAGGCTTACTATTGGTTATGTATTTTTTTCTTTTGGTTTGTTGCATTTCCATCTCTTCCACCATTTTAAACTGAGAAACAGTATTGTGTAAGAGTTCATATTATGACTGTATAATGAAATACATTTAGGGCCAGGGATTTAGCTCAGTGGTGCCTCTGCCTGCCTTGCAAGTGGAAGTTCAATCTGAGTTCAATCCCCACTACCAAAAAAGAAACATATTTATAGTAAAACTACTAATGACACAAGCATAAAATCAACTTAGCTACATGTCTGGCCCCAAGGTTTCACACACATATGAATAACAGTGTTCATGTAGAAATTTCATTTTCAGGTTTACCTTCTCAGGAATAGCATCCTCATGTGTGATACACAGACATGCAAAATGAGAGGTGGATGAAACTAGCATGGGAAGAAGGAAACCTGGTTTCTGTCTCTGGCTGTATCTCACACAAATCAGATCACCTCTCTAGAACCTTAGTTTGTCTTGGACAAAGGCATAGATTATGAGATTATTTCTCTCATGCCTCTCATTCTGGCTTTTCATGACTCTGATTTCATGATCATGTTCAATGTGTCCATGTGTTGCTCAAGCAAAACAAGGCACTTGGTATCAAAGAAGGTTGAAAAAAGGCTCAGTTTTTTACACACTGAGACCAGAAAGTGGAATAAATAAGATGTTTAGAGGGGTCTCAATAACAAAGGTTGAAATAAGAAGGTATTTCTGTTTATCGCTTGACTTTCCTCCAACTGAAGTTCATACCTCCTGAGCATTTTCAATTACACTTCATTTTAAATATCTTTAAATAGCTTTCAACAGTTTTCCAGTACTTTTCTTTAGAGCCTATGTAAGTTATGTGTAGTTTAAATAAATGAAAAATGCAAACAAATTGTTAATGAGATCACATAGATAATGCTCACTGGGGCTCTGCTTTGGTCAATGTAATGATAAACTGTCTTCAATATTTATGAATATCCTGATCTCAGGGCTTTTTTTTTTTCTTATAGTGCCTTCCGGGATGAAAATCTTCTATAGGCAATAAGATTTGTAAACAATTTCCTTGCCATGTAGTGAAGCTGTATTTATCAAACTGAGTTTAAAATGTACTGAAGTGAAATAAATTAAGTTAGAATGAATCCATTTAGGAACTTTAGTTCATCTGCATTACAGACTCATTATGAAGTCAGAATATGGCTTCATCAATTACTATCAGGGACCAGACTAGCATGTGTTCTCAATACACTGAATCCCCAGTTTCTTTAGAAACACTCTCCCATCTCCCCAGTCTTCTGTAGTCCATAGCAACTGACTGGGATGACTGCTTTTTCACATTAGTTCATCTCTGGATTACTGAGGGTCATGCTCTGGGCTTGGCATGTGTCAGGAGTATTTTCTAAGACACACAGTGAAATACGTGTTTTATAGAACCTGCAGTTACTCAATCTCTTGGGCTACTCTGATTGTCTATTGTAAAGAATGTATTGCTTTCAGAGCATTCTCTTCTATCATTCTTTCATCAAACTTGTCTAGTACCCTAATCTATACAAAGAGGAAAAGGAACCTGGAGAGTTTAAGAAACTTGCCTTGAGTCAAGTTGTAAATTACTGATTTAAATGACACAGTCCAAAAAAATGAGAACCAAGACCTGTCATGTAGAGGTACAAGATCCCAACAATGAATGTAACTGTACTGTATCCCTAAAATGTACCAATAAACTCAATTAAAGCTGAAAAAAAAAAAAGTCCAGAGAGAGCTACTCCCACCCTCCTCCTGGCCTCCTTTCCCCTGGAAGCCTATACTTGCCAATTTGAATTTCTTTCAGGTCCTCAGATACCCCACCCACTCTCTCTCATCTACAACCTTGGATTTGCTGTTCTGTCTGCTTTTCCTCCCAAGCCACAGCACTGATGGCTGTGCCCTGCCACACCTCAGTTCCTCTTCCCCAGCTCTGGCATTCCCTACAGGATTTACCTATTTAAATAGAACTTCTTTTGAGGAAAGGAGTATTCCTGCCTCTCTTCCATACTCTGAAGATCTGATGGAGCAAAGCACACAGATGTTTGGTATTTGTTGAATGAGTTAGTTCAGAGGTGAATTGTTGATAGGTAAATTGAGGTCATTTTGACTGTATTTTACACCTACTCAAGCCCTCACACAACTAATCCTACACCAACAGTCACCAGAAATGGGGACAATAAATTTTTTCCTCTTCAATGCCAATCAACCCAATGTTAGTTCTCAAGATGAGTTTGGAGGCAATATATTCAACTGACCACTTTAGCATGTCATTTGTGTCTACTGACCAAGGAATGAGAGTACAAGACAGGGTAATGTAATAATAATAATAAAATGAAATCAAAGGAAACGAAGTAGTACTCAATCTGTAGGAAAATCGGTGAGACAAAAACCATTGCTCTTGGAAACAATGGAGGCATATTTGACAAAATCCATCGTAGGGACAAAGCACAAACTCCTGGGCCCTTAACCTTTTACTTACTGAAAGCATGATTTGCTTCTGGAGCAGTCGTGAAATGGAACCTGCTTTTTCTAAAAATAAAACAAAAGCAAGAAAAAAAACTCAGTGACTCCTTGACACTACAAATTCTCAAGGTGTTACTAGATTGGGGTTCTTGTCCAGGTTCTTGGTGTCCTAAACAAAAAATTAAGTAGGACACTCAAAAGGAACAGCAAGGTCAAAAATTTATTGAAAGTGAAAGTAAACTCCACCCACTGAGGGAGGACCAATGAGGAGGCCTGTTATTGAGGGTGTTAAACTTTAGGATTTGGGGCAGGATTAAAGGGTTGGCCTAAGGTTTTGCTCTTGCCGGAAGAACAGCTTGACTCTGTCCTTCCATTGGTTTGTGGAATTTTTGACATATTATGGCCTTTGGATGAACTGTCATGATGCCCAAAGCCCATAGAGGCGTATTTCAAAACAGCATAGCTGATGACATGGTAATAAGGGACTGGGCCAGTCAAGTGTCGCTGATGATCTGTGTCCTGAGATTCGCTGTGCATGAGTTGGGTTAGTTACTACTTTCTCCTTTTGTATTTAGACTGAGACATACTGGTCCTGAGTTAAAGTTTAACTCAGAAGGTGGATTTAGCCTAGAAAGCGGGCTCCAAAGCAGAAAGCGGGCTCTCTTCAGCTGTTGCTAGCTACTTCCTGCCTCAAATGGGTAATTAAAAGCAGAACAAAGCTTGACCTTTATTTTGTATTTTTCCTTTATTACCCTAAAACTTTGGGTCACATCTTTGCTCTGTGTATAGGCACTGCAATCATTTAGGGAGTGTCTGTCTAAAAGTTGGCAATATAAGGTTAATTAGCATTAAATTTATGTAACCTATTTCATTCTTTTTTCAGACTGAGGACACCGAGAGAGTTACAGGGATATTCAACCACCACTGAGCACCCAGAAGTCTTCAGTCATTCCCCTAAACCTACATTTCCCTTGGATTCCAGCAGAGGTTCCACAAAACTGACACTGCTCCAAGCAGATATAGTGATCTCATGGAGGCTGAATTGCACTTTCAAGCAGTAAGCACTCCTTGAGCTATCTTGCAAAACCTGAACTGAAATAATGAGCAACCAGGCCGCTGTCAACCTCAGCTACTCTATAAAAGTTTGTCTTGGGCTGGGGATTTAGCTCAGTGGTTCAGTGGCCTGCCTTGCAGCAAAAAGACCCGAGTTCAATCACCGGTTCCAAAAAAAGCAAACAAACAAAAAAAGCTTGTCTCATTCTTTTGTTAGTGGGCCGGCCTGATCCTCTCCATCAGAGTTCTCCATCCTTTTTCAACCTGAAGTACTTTCTCATTTTCTCTTACTTTCTAAATAGAGCCTACATTTCTCACTGACACATCCTGAAATGCTTTCTGTATGATGTCAAGAACCTGCCCAGGCCAAGTTGAGGTTTCCATATTCTCTTTAGGGGACATCCTTGCATCCCATCTGCTATAGCTTGGGTTTAGATGTCCCCCCACCCAAGCCTCATGCAGACATTGGTGAGACTTTTTTCAGATGTGGCTGCATCTAGAATGTGTGATTGATTCATGGTGCAATGCTTTAAATGGATTAAATGTGTAAGTGCTACCCACCCTAAATAATCTGAATAAAATATAAAAGGGGCAGAAAGATACTGTTAACTTCCCTTTGCTTTTGCTATGTTCCTCCACCATGAACAGTTTCCCCTCTGCCATGTGCTACCCTGCCTTGGAGCTAAGTGATCATGAACTGAAACTTCTATAAACTAAATAAACCTTTTCTCTTTTAACTTTAGTTGTTGGGTATCTTGTCTCAGCAATGAGAGAAAAAAAGTAACCAAGACGCCATCCAATGACATATTCATACCTGAGCAGTGCACTACAGACTCTCTCATATCACCCTCAGAAGCTTATTCTTCTACTTGGCCATAGGCAATTTCAGCTGACCCTGTACTTGCCCTCATAGCATCAGCTTTTCCCTACCCTAATCCTCCACTGTAGCACTCAGCTTCAGGCCTTAAGGCCCAGCTCTCAGGCATTCTTTTCTGCATGATGCTTTGTGATTTGATCTTGTCTAGGCCTTGTGGTAACCTTCCCTGTGGGATTCCCAGACCAAATGCAGGATACCCAGTTACATTTGAGTTTCACACAAATAGTTTTTAGTGCAGTCATCCCTTGTTATCCACTGCAAATTGGTTTCAAGAACCCCAGAAGACACCCAAATCCTTGGATGCTCAAGTACCTTATATAAAAGGGTATAGCATTTGCCTTTCACCTATGCACATAGTCCTGTATATTTTAAATTATCTCTAGTACTTAATACAATGTCAATGCTGTGTGAATAGTTGTCATGCTATTTATTTAGAGAATAATATCAAGGAAAAAAATCTGTACATGTTCAGTATAGAAACAACCACATAGGCCTAACTATATTTTCCACCCATGGTTGTTTAAATCCAAGGATAGTTATGGGCCAGCCCTTTCTCATAAGACCGAAAGTCCTGATGAAGTCAGTAGATTCTAAAATGGAAAATCAGGGCAAAACCAAACCACAAAAAGGCACTGTGTTTCATAATTCTGGACCTAGAATTCAGGCCTGTTTTTAATACTATCACATGATCACTTAGGAATAGACCTCACTTGGAAAATTGCAGTGAATTATTTGATTGTTAGATTACCAAAGAACACAAGTTACCATATGGCATTAGGGATCTACTTAACAACAGTTTCTCCAACGGAGAAACTCTTTTTGCCTGGGCCCTCAGCAGAGTTGGCACAAAAGGTAAAAACACATCACAACCATGGCTAAAGATAAATCTGTGTGAGACCAGGCCTCATGATAAAGATGAAATGACTAGGCCTGCATACTTCCTCAAAAGACAAGCACCAGACCTAATGGAGTCTAGATAAATATCAATCACCCTGGTGGGTTGGCAAGATATCCAGACCCATCATTCACTAGGAAAATCTTTGTTCTTTCCATGCACACTTGTTTCCCCATTGGATCACTATTACTTATACTTGTAACCTCATTGGTTGATCATAGTGTAACCCACATTGTACCATGGGGATTTTGCTCTATAAAATTTCCCTATAAAGTGGGATCCCTGGCCACCCAATCTGGATCCCTCTTGCCTCTCAGGAGCTATCCTCTCAATAAGCATTTTCCTACTCTTAAACTTTGTTCCTAGAATTCACTCTTAGAATTTAAAGAACACAAACTCAGGTATCAGATATCTAACAGGTTGGGAGCTATAATACTTCATATTTCATATCCTGTTTCACTAGGGTTTAGCTCCTACCCTTCTTTTGTATCTTCATCATGATCTACAGAGTGAAGACAAACTCTTGAATGTGGTTTCAAGGCTGTCTGCATTCTGACCCTTCTTCCTGTTTTCTTCTCACCTCATGTTTCATCCACATCTCTCCTGGCTCTACAGATGGGGGAGGAGCCTAAATGAAACTGCATACCACAGCCATTTCTCTACTGATACCTTTTCCTCAGTTTAGATCCCTTCCCTCTTCTCCATCCATCAAAGCCTCATTTGTCATCCCCATTGTTAGCTGTTAGGTAGATACTTTTTTTTTTTTTTTTTTTTTTTTTTTTTTTGAGACAGGGTCTCACTATGTAGTTGAGACTGAACTGGAACTCATTATGCAGCCCAGGTTGGTCTCAAACTCACAGTGATCCTCCTGCCTCAGCTTGCTGAGTGCTGGGATTACAGGCCTGTGCCACCACCCCTGGCAGAGATGCTTTTAAGAACAATCAGCTAAGCTTGTGAGGGGGTAGGGCAGTATACTGTTGCCCCTTTAACCCATGGACTAATTTTCTCATAAAGGCACATAAACATGGGTCTATCAGACCCATGTTTATTCTTTAAAATATTTCTATTGATGAATTATTAATTTTAATTTTATGAGTTTTATTGTATTAAACAAAATAGCACTTAAGAGGAAAAACTCATAAAAAGTATTGAATTTTTAGTATTTATTGAGTGTTTATACAAAAGCATTAAAATTTTCAACATTCACTGTTTTTTGGTGTATAAAGTCTAAAACAAGAATAACAGAAATAGATTCTTATATGACCTTCAATGAAAATTCCAATAGCACTTTACCAAACCAATCTTTATTTTGATTATCATGACTAAAGCAGTCTGCACATATGACAACAGCATGTTCCATACACACATATCACTTACACTGACAGCACATGTTTTTTGCTTTCCTGGCCTTTTTGCAGGACATACTTGACATTTCACTGGTCTTACTGCTTTGTCAGGATCTTCTTATTATGTTATGTAGTTAAAAGGAACATAAAATACTAATAAAATAAAGTCTTAAATTATTAATATATATTATGCATTTAGAATAGTCATCAACATTTTCACATTAGCTGTGTACTTGCTTACAAAACCTAAAAGATAACATCACAAATAAATTCCCATAGTAGCTACAATGAAAATAACAGTGGAACTCTACAACAAAAAGTAAGTTGTGCTTCAATTGTCACACTCAAGGCAGTCTTCACACATGACAACTGCATCTATACACTTGTCTCACACTGATAGCACATGTGCTTAGCTTTTCTTTCCTATGTAGCAGTCTTGTCACCTCTCCATGTTTTGTCAGGAACTTCCTACTATGTTGCACAACATGCATTTAGAAGGGATATGGTATCTATAAAGTAAAATATCAAATATGTAATGAGTGCTTAGAAAAGGCATCAATATTTTCATATCAGCTGTTCACTTGCTTAAGAAAATTAAAAGGTAACATCAGAAATAAAAGACTATGTGAACTACAATGCAAACACAAACAAAAGTCTACTTCAGAAATAATCTTTGCTTCAACTATCACACTCAAGGCAGTCTTCATATATGACAACTTCATTTTCCACATACAAAGTATTGCTTACACTGATGGCATGTATGTTTTGTTTTCCTGTCCTTTTTTGTAGGGCATAGTTGACATCTTTTTGGTTTTCCTGTTGTAGGTCTTTGTGATGCTGTACCTGCCTTGTTCACCTGTCAGCTCACCAGTGTGCTCCACAATTTTTTTTGCCTAGTTCAAATTCTGATCCCCTAAGAAAATGTCTCCATGATATTTTGCACTTGTTATTTTTTTGTAAACTGTAAACTATTTATGCCACTGTGTAAGATTGAGTAAAACAAAAACCATTGGCCAATGCTTTGTGTTTTGAGTGACATCATAGTTGCTGTATAACTCATCAACAACATCTACTCCACCTTTGGTTTTGTTGTAAAAGGTTTCCATCTCAGGCTCTGATTTTTAGATATCCCTATCAGTATTTCCATCATAGTACAATGTTGGCATCAACAATAACAGTTTGTTTTTCTTAGAAATATACAAGGCCAATATAAGTCCTTCTGAAATCTAAAGATTGTACTATATAATTCTCTTTTTTTAAAATTGAAACATTTCATTTGGAATTTCTGCTTCGTTCCTGCAGACAGTTCCTGTGCTGGTCAACTTGTGTTCTGTTAGCAAATGTAACCTCAATTGGAAACTCGTAAGCCAATTGTCTAATATCGCATTTCAATTAGTTTGGGAGATGGAAGCAACAAGTCTGTTCACAACATCATTCAATTTTTCACTATATGAATAAGGACCCAATGGCTGAGTTCCAGGATAAATGTCTAAATTGAAAGCATAATAAGTTGCATTTACAAGGGCATACATTTTATGCCGTATTTCAAACCATCACTTTCATAAGTCTTTTACATTCCTTTGATTATCATGAGAAATCCTGCTGAGTACAGCAAATTTATGAATGCCTTCAGTTCAGCTAGTGATATTTCATAATAAATACATTCTTTACTTGCATTTCAGCCTCTGTGTATTTCACAGCATCTTGTAGCATTTCATCTGTTGAAATTTTCAACACTGAATGGCAGTGCTGGCATTCTGTCCAATACTTTTTCATCCCTGTCAAGACCTTCACTATATTTTCAGACCTACTTCTAACATTGGATCATTTTACTTGGTTACATGGCCATTTTGCAACATTTGAACTAGTCAAATAATGTACTCACGTTGCTGTTTTCTTTGTCATCTGAATCAAGGAGGTCTGCATTCCCTATTAGTCAATTCTTGTTCCATATCACTGTCACGGGAACTTTGGCTCACATGGCCAAAGTCAAATTCAGCATCATCATCATCATCACCATCATCATCAT